TTCAGCTATGTGAGGGAAAAAGCTATTTGAAACAAATACACAGCTTTCAATGCTCACTGCCATATGCTGAACTAATCTGACTCCAAGTTAAATTTGCAAAACTGTTCTTCTCTTATACACAGTTCTTTTAAAAATCTTACCAAAATGTATAGTGTTGTATGCCCAAATCAAGTTAAATTAAATGCACTACAATATGCATATGAAATAGGGCAAGAAGAAAAAAAACATGAAGAAAGTTGAACGCATCTTGTTGCTCAGCACCTCTTAGGTAAAGATCTCAGCAAGAAGGTTCTGGGATTGAAGGAACCAGGATGATTAAAATAAATTCCATCTATTAATTCCCAATAAGATGAAAAATAAAGATGTTCTAGAACACATTCTCAAGTTCTCTCCAAATTGGAAGAAATTCGGAAACAATGAGAACCAGTTATATAAAGAGGGGAGAGGGAGTAAGGCACTGCCTGACACAGAGACATAGTCAAGTCTACCTTCACTGTCACCAAAAAGTCCTGTTCAACTAGAAAGATGGGCTTGTTACAGCATTTGTTTGTATATTTTTCATTACTTGCCAACTAAGTTTGTGAATAGCAAATCATCATACTGTGTTGGCTTAGATTATACTTGATGGGAATTAAAATCCCTCCAACTTTAAAGTGAACTCCTGTCAGGTCGTCTCCCAGTGCTAGACTCTAGCCATGACATGTTTTCTATTCATCCTGTTAGCTCTTGCCCATCATTCTAGTAAGTAGCTCCCCCGGTCAGTTATTGCAGATCTAGAACTTAAATCCAAGTTTAATTTCCACTGGCTTCTCACATTCCTTTCATATCTCCATTCAAGCAATAAAAATAGTGACCCAAACACAGTCAAGAGCAGATTACATTTATCTGTCTCCAAAGGCTTCCCTTTGGGTTTTAGATTTTCAAATAGCTAAAACGTAGCTAACACTTCTCTTTACCTCGTCCCACGTAGATGAGAGTTCACCAGAAGTGTATCTAACATTAAAATCTCTATCTCCAAGCACATCCTCGTCTCCAAGTCTATGATCTTACTAGAAAATGTTTGTGTTGCTATGTTCTTTTAATACCTAATTTGCCAGAATCTGTCTTCCCATTTTTTAAATTTAGCATATTTGTCCACTCCAATTGAACTCATGTAAAAGATTTATGTACACACTTTCCTTAGGAAAGGGATATTATGAGAGGAAATTATGTCCTAGACATTAGATGTTAAAAATACTGACATACCGTAATAGTTCATGAGTATTTACTGTGTACCAGATGCTGTGTAGACAACATAATACTTAGTTCACCCCTTGCTCTTATGTTCAGAGTCTTTTAGAAGAATCAGTAATACACCCTCCACATTCTCCTCTATGTCTGCAACTCCTCTTTCTTGATCTTCCCTTCACTGACTTGTCTTGTACTCCCAACCACCCACCCTCAGTTCCATCTTCTTACTGCACTTCATCTTGAAGACTTTATATCTTCCCATAGCTTGCGTCATCTCTTCAACTACAGTGATTAGCTCGCCAATATCAGATATCACTAGCATTATCCTCAACCCACATTTCCACCTGACTTCGCTATGAGTCAGAATCAACTCGACAGCAAAGGGTTTGGTTTTAGTTTTTTGGTCTGGCAGAGCCTCCCATGTTTCAATAGCTAAATGGATCTTCATCTAACATAATCAGACCCAGCCCCCAAGGTCCAGCACTAACCTCCCTCCTACACAGGAACTTACCTCATCTCCGAAATTTTTTTAAAAATTATTTTTTACTGTGTCTGTGTTTCTACAGACTCTGGTATCTCTGTTGTAGCATTTAACATATAACTTTCTCAAAAATCACAATTATGTTCCTGTTTATATCTCCATTAGATCATAGGCAGAGGAGAAAGGGTGTTAAATGTAAGTGAGAAGAGTATCTGAGGTTTAAAGTTTTGTGGAGTTTTTGTTCGTTTGTTTGTTTCCTACTGGTCCAGTGTTTTAACCTTATACAGTCTTGGATTCTTTACGTGTAGAATGGAAATAAGATGCCCACTATATTGGGACATTTTGAAGACAATATGGAAAGTAGCTCGCATGTAGAAGGGGCTCAGAAAGTAAAAGCTACCAGGAGTAGCAGTGACGGCTTGCCCTGAATCCTTGAGGTGAGAGATAACACCCTATCAGGACTTTGTTATAATGGTATTAACTAACAAATACACAGATCTTTATTAAGGGTGCAATACATTTCCACGAATGAAAAATTGAAATGCATTTACTTACTATTAAGGCATCCTTCCAGAGGATGACTTTAGAATGAGAGAATCATCAAAAGCCACTGTTTAAAATCTTTTGACTTTTTTTTTCTTTAAACTACACCCTGGATCGGTAAGAGAAACAACATAAATAAAACACATTTCTTTCTGACTACCATGTCTGCTTCAGCAGAGTCCACTGTCATTTGTGTAGCTTTAGCAGAAACTTGAGAAAGTGGCAGCTTCTCAAAATGTATTGGCTTCATTACAAGATGCATTTTCTATGCCAGAGTACTGGAATTTAATGTCCCTTTGAGTTCCCATTAAAGTTTTTGTTCCTTTGGAATTTACAGTATTCTGTGGTAGATTTTAACTAATTACCTAAAATCTAAATAAGAAGTTGTCATTGAAAGGTTCAGGATACTCCTTTTTCTGACCAACTATTTATTCTACCTCTTCCTACAATGGCAGGTACTCAGCTGACCTTTTCTATACTTATTTCTATGCCAAGAAAAGAATTAAGCTAGGGACATTATAAGTCTTAAACTATAAATGCATTTGTTTCACCAGATTCAAAATTCCTATTCTGAAGCACCTCATGCTATTTTATTTTCTCTGAACATAACAGGGATACCTAGGAAGCCTCAAAAATAAACTCGGACCGATTTATTGAAGAAAGGATGTGAGCAGTCTTTTAGAGATTTTAATATCAAAATCTTAATACCAGAAACCCTTACAATGATGGATACATTTGTTCACAGTAGTATTTTATTCGAGAATAGTAGCTTAGAATTGGAGGAGACCTCAGCAAATGTGGATTGCAAAATGGCAGGCTACAAGTGACATGTGGTCCATAGGTACGTTTTTAATGCGGTCCTTACAGTTTTTAAAGTTTAAGGATAGTTCATGTAAAAAATCTGCAAGTGTTTCTTTCTCTTGAAAAAACTGGAATGTTTGGGAGCACTGGGCAATAACAATCAGCTACAGCTGAGTAGGAGCTGCCCAATTTATACTGGTTTGCACGTCCTAGAATGCCTCACACCAGGCCTGCTCCACTCCTTTATCGTAGCTGTCAGACCCTGCACACATCTGAAATGCAGACATGGGTTTTTGTTTTTTTTTTTTTTTTAAGTCAAACAGCCAGATCCAAAAGGGGCTTCCCCTTTCTTTCATTAGCTCCATGACCTTGGGCAAATTCTTTAAACTCTGAGTCTTGGGTCTCTCAGCTTTAAAATGAAGATAATTCCTTGACCTCACAATGTTATGAAGATTTTAAAAAGAAGTACATAAGAAGCACTTTGTAAACTGTAATGTAAAATGTTTGTCATCATTATTCGTTTTCCAACCCACTGCCTTGTATAAATCCTGTCTACCTGCCTCAGTCATTATTTGGCTTCCTTGTTCCTCATATGATTATACTCTGTATGACACTATTTAATATCTAAATGAAAAGAATTTGATCTATTCCCTTGCCTCCTTCAATAAGAGGTAAAAAAGATGAACACATATCATAAGAAAACCAGATGAATTGCTGAATGCCAGTGGATCTTTCCTAGGTCATTTCTGAAAGTGAAGGTATGAAAATATGCAAGTATAATTAATGGACTGCTGATCCCTTCAAGTGCTGTGGTTTAAATTAATGAGAGGCCTCAAGGTAAAAACGAAAGCCCAGATATTAGGGGCTTCTGTGAAAAAGGAGCACTGACCTTCTCCGTGGGCCTTCACTCAATGCTCCAATAAAGGGTCCAGTTCATCGAAAAAAACAAGCTCTACTAAGCTTTCTGTGCCTCCTTCTTCAGTACACTTTAATATAAGCTCTAAAAACTTAGAGTTTTAAGCCATGGCACCAATTTTATATCTAGCTAGTTATAGTACCATGGCTTATATCTATATCTAGATTTATGTATCTTTTTTTATATCTACATACAGATATATATGTCCAAAAATCAGTAAGAGATTTGAAACAGAAATGGGCAGAGGTGCAGAAAAATGCACTTAGAGAATGATGCAGTAGATAGCAAAGACTTGAATGTCAAGAATGCTGTTTTGTTACATTAAGAATTCACAAATATGTTTGCCTGTTCTGGTCAGTTTACAACGGATTGTCCTTGTGTGGGGAACCACGATTAAATCATCTTCAGCTTTTAATGTTAAGATAATCACGCATGAGTGAACTGCAAGATACAACGTGGAAATAGAGAGCAAGATGATATTTAAATTGGAATCAGCTTTCTTTATAAGATCACCAAAATGGGAGTAATTTATAACTCAAGATACAATTTGTTGAAAAATTCATTTGAGGAATCCTTTTTTAAGCATATCATATAGTGCAATTACCTCTTTTCTTGAACTTGAATGAAACCATCGCCTGAATACAGATTGACGAATGCCAAATTACAAGGTCCTCAGTGTATATATTATTTTAAAAATCAAAACCAATAACAGCATCATTTAAGAAACCAGGTCTTTCAATAGATGTCCCAAGGCTGTTTAAGCAAGTCTCCTTGGCAACCAAGGAGCACAGTACATCCTGGGCTCGGGGGAAGGGGAGAAGAGGGAGAACAACTCCAGGTTGGTAGAATAAGTAACCAGAAAGTAGTAATTGCTCCTACTAGACGACACTGGTAGAGGCTGCTTGGGCTGCATACCCCTGAAAATTCAACTCCGAGTCTCGCCCCCACTGGCGCACCAGCAGCCTCCCACCCTCCCTCCGTCTGCAGGCACCAACCCCGAACAGGTTACAAGGAGAGAGACTGGCTTACCCGATGGGGTGAGCGGTCTGCTGGGGTAGGTACCCGAGGCGGTAGCGCAGGCACCGGGCTCTCCCTGATGCACAATGGCTTTGCTTCGCCCCACGATGCTGAGGTTAAGAGAAACCGCAGTAGCTTCGCTCTGCCAGTTTGGGGATGCAGTTGTGAAGAATGAGCGCCCTAAGGCGTGTGTGTGTGTGTGTGTGTGTGTGTGTGTGTATGTGTGTGTATGCCTGCGCGTTCCCGGACTCTCCCGCGGGGAGACAGTGTTTCCTAGTAAATAAAAAGCACCAGTCAGCACTGCAGGCTGCGCGTCCGACTCGCTCTGCCCCAGGCGACCGCGTCAGCCTGGAAACGCACCTTGGCGACCCACGGGGCGGGCTCAGACGGCGACACGGCTCCGCCCCCTCACGCCTCCGGCAAGCCAGCGCGCACGCCCGCCCCCACCCCCGCCGGCGAGTCACCGCGCACACCGCCCCCCCAACCCGTCGGCGAGCCAGTGCGCACGCTACCCCACCCCCGCCGGCGTGCAGCGCGCACACCCCCTCCAGCCTCGCCGCTGTCTCGCCAGCGCGCACGCCCGCGCACACGCCGCTCCCTCCGAGAGCCAGCGCGCACGCCCCCGCACTCCCGCCAGCGAGCCAGCGCGCACGTTCTCGCCCCGCCACCCCAACCGGCGAGCCAGCATGCCAACCCACCCTTCCCAACTCCCACCCACGTGGGCGAGCGAGCTTCCACGCCCTCTCCCCCCGGAAGCTCCAGTCTTGCGCTCCGCCCCCTTTCTCGCTCTCCGGGTCCTGCTCTCCAGGGCCGCCGGCTCACCTGCATGGCCCGCGGATACAGCTGCTGTTCTGCCTCGACGACTGAGACACTTGAACTTAGACTGCTCGCCCTCAGACTCCTTTCCCAGGGCTGATGAGCATCCTGCGCGAACTCTCGCCGTGACCCGAATCACAGGGAGCACTGGCCCTCTGCTTCTCTCCACTGACTTGTAAAGTTGAAGTTACGCTCATTCCTAGCAGCCCCTTTGCAAGACCTACAGTGGCCCTCCAAAGAAAAATACGCATTATGATACTGTAGAGAACAGCTTCCCGGTAACTGTAAGAAATACAAGGTACCAGCCTCCTAGCGATGACTGAGGTCCTTAGCCTGAGGAATGAAAAAGTGTATTTGGTTACAGCTCATTCACTGGTGACGTAGTGGTTAAGGGTTCGGCTGCTAACCAAAGTCGGCAGTTCGAATCCACCAGGCGCTACTTGGAAATCCTATGGGGCAATTCTGCTCTGTCCTATGGGGTGTTTAATTGTTGGAATCGACTCGACAGCAGTGGGTAATTCACTACTAAAACTGAAGACAGACAAGCACTCGAAAACACCACCATTCAATTCCAGGGCCTGCCACTCTCTTGTGCCCCTTGCGTGTGTGAGCATTCAGATAATTTCTGTGTGAAATATGCTGAGAAACGCACACGAGCAAAGTGGGTGATTTTAAAATATTCCACCTTTGAATTGAAAACCTTGGTCAGATACAGAGTTAAGCCACCTGGTAACAGTAGGATGTAACTCTAAATTGAAGTAAGATGTACTTTGCAGTAGCTCAGGGTTTAACTACTGCTAAGATGGAATGTCACAGAATGTTAAGTCTTACAGGTTTGTGTTCTTCCACGGGGTCCTTAACATTCTCCTTAGTCTCAGATAAGTGGTTTAGCAGTTGTTTTCCATTTTCCATTTTCCATTACAGGTTTGTTCAAAACTGTATTATTCAGGCTCTCCTGAGAAAAAGAACCAGTAAGATATATCTAGAGAAAGAGAGGTTTATTTTAAGGAATTGGCTCATGCAGTTGTGCTGGCCAAGTCCACAAAATCCATAGGTCAGGTGACCAGCTAGAACTCTGGCAGTCTTGTGCCTGAAATCAGAGTGGCAGGCATTGGGCTGGAAATTCCAGCAGTATGTGTATTTTACAGTTATAAGGCAGAATCCTTCAGAGGCTTTTGAGGGAAAATCTGTTGTTTGCTCTTCCTGGGGCCTGTGTGGCTTTCAGTACTTCATACCCTTGTTCTTGATACTTAGACTTTAGGACAGTGGGGTCCTACTTCTCTAGCAGTCCTGGACACCAGGGTGGGTGCAGGGGAAGAATGATAAACAGCTGACTGCAAACATGAGGTGTGGTGTCATTGTCCAGCATGTTCCATAAGCATTCTGATCTGTTTCATTGGCTGTTGTTTTATACCAGAAGATCAAATGTCCAAGCATATTTGAACCCAAAATGTTGACAGTCAGTGACTGGTGTTAATCTATAAAACACTGTTTTAAGATTCATAAGGTATTTGTTACTGAAGTCACTGTGCTTACATTTTTAAACCCATCTATATTGATCAGATTATTAGATTGTTTAGAATAAGTAGAAGCTATTTATTAAGGAGCCCTGGTGGTGCACTGGTTAAGCGCTCAGCTGCTAGCCAAAATGTCAGCAGTTCAAACCCACATAGCAACTCTTAGGGAGAAAAGATCTGATGATGGGCTTTCATACAGATGGCAGCCTAGGAAACTCTACGGGCAGTTCTCTCATATAGGGTTGCTGTGAGTCAGAATCGACTCAATGGCACACAGCAACATCAACATTTATTAAGTATGATTGAATAGAAATAGCAAAGAATACCACAAAAAAATTTTTTTACATGGACAAAATTTTTTTACGCCACCAACCCACTGGTGTATGACTATGGAAGGGTCTGGTACTGCGCTGGCTCGGTTTGTCTTGTTCATCGTTATATCCCTAGGCCCTAGCATAATGCCTGTCACATAGTAGCGGCTCAGTTGATATGTGACTGACACATAGGTGTGGAGGATTAAATGAGAAAATGTATGTTAAATGTCTAATTCATAGAGGGCAATTTTTTCCTAAATCGCTACTTAAAGATAGAGTTTAAGTATAGTTTTTTTGGAAAGCCTTTTATTTCTCAAAAAAAAAAAAAAAAACAATAAGTCATTAGAAAGCCAAAATAACTCAACATAAAGATTCTATATAGTTCCAGTGTGCTGATACCAGAGGAATCCAGGGGTAGTACAGACAGCCCACGCAGCTGCTAACCAAAAGTTGGAAGGTTCTAGTCTACCCAGAG